GGCAGTTCTGCCTCTACAACAACGTTTCGGTGACGGCGGAACACATCCCAGGTCTGGACAATTCGGGGGCGGATTGGAATTCCAGACACTTACGGGACTCCGGGGACTGGCATCTACATGCTTCAGTGTTCCAGTGCCTGAACAGGTTGTGGGGCCAGTTCCAGTTGGACCTATTCGCGTCACGCCTGAACACTCAGCTACCGAGGTTCTACAGTTGGAGGCCGGACCCGGCTGCAATAGCGACAGATGCCTTCCTACAGGAATGGCCACCGGGTCTGATGTACGCCTTTCCCCCATTCAACATGATCGCACGCACGATCTCGAAACTGGTCCGCCACGATTGTCGGATGGCTTTGATCACCCCTCTATGGAGGTCTCGACCATGGTTCCCTCGGCTGATGGAACTGTCCATAGACTACCCTCGTTTACTTCCAGTATTCCAAGACCTCCTTCTGGATCCGGATGGGAACTCTCACGACCTGGTGTTGCAGCATCAGCTACCCCTCATAGCATGGTTCCTTTCAGGGGACCTTGGGTTATCCCAGACGTTTCGCAGTCAACTCTCCGACTCCTCGATAACGCCAGGGCACCGGGTACACGGACAGCTTACCGACATTCATGGAGATCATGGTCTGGTTGGTGCATGGAACGGGCAATGGATCCCGTATCTGCCCCTCTGCCTTTGATTCTGGAGTTCCTCACGTTCCTATTTGATTCGGGCAAGGCATACCGCACGATCAACCTTTTCCGCTCAGCTATCTCAGCCGGGCACGAAGGTCTAGACGGTTCTCCGGTTGGCAAGCATCCTTTTGTCTGTCGACTTCTCAAGGGTATTCGCCTTGCTCGTCCTCCTCGACCTCGTTTTGCCGCCTTTTGGGACGTCAACGTGATGCTACAGTTCCTATCATCATGGTACCCCAATTTGGAGCTGACTCTCAAGCAATTGTCTGCCAAATTGGTTATGTTACTGTGCCTGATTTCTTGCAGAAGAGTCTCTGACGTTCGGGCCCTGGACTGGGACGCCGTTGCATTCACCCCAGAAGGCGTCACCTTTGACATTTCCAGGAGGACCAAGTCTGCATCTAAGTCACTTACATATCCTAGGTTTTCAGACTGTCCAGCGCTCTGCCCGGTGGATTGCATCAAGGACTATCTGGATGTTACACGTCCCCTTCGCATGACAGACCTGCACGATCTGTTCATATCCTTTAAATCGCCTCACCGGCCGGTTTCGACTCCTACTCTAGCACGTTGGGTGCGCTGGCTGCTATCCTCCGCGGGTATAGACACCTCAGTATTTACGCCCCATTCTGTCAGGGGCGCGATGGCCTCGAAAGCCTCTTCAGTCGGATGTCGCCTAGAGGACATTATGCGAGCGGCGGATTGGTCTCGGGAATCGACCTTCCGAACCTTCTACTTCAGGCCAATTGAGCACATCGCATCTCGTGTGGTGGCACAGCTTTGAACTTGCATAATATGAGCCTCTGTGTCTTTAATAAAATTCCCAGATTTTACTAGTAACATGACGTAAAGTCATGATTTTATTAAAGACACGGAGGCGAGTATTATTCCCTCCCACCCTCCCGGAGTGGAGTTGGGGTACGAGATGCTTGGTGGCTCTACAGGTATGTTTTTTCAGTTTGATCTGTATCCTATCAGTTGATTTGCATCTTTTGTACGGGTTGTTGTACCTTTATGCTGTGTACTAATTCTGTTGTTTTTATATTTCAGTACTCTGTTTTACCTGTGTCTCCCCAAGACTATGTTTGGTAAGTTTGCAGTTCTGAATTAAGAAATTACCATATTTCTCTATCTTTTTTAGCTTGAAATTGTCGCATCGTTTTCCCGTTACCCTGTTTCGGCCAAGTGGGACATCGTTCATCTTACCTGGTCTTCGGTTCGCAAGAAAGAGGGGGATTGTGGGAGACACAAGACTTATATAGCTACTTCCTATACCCTGTGATTGGCTACCTGTTGTGCCTATACAGTTTTTTCTTCAGTTTTGATAATATTTATATTTCTCTTTCTTTGCTGCTGAGGAAATAAAGAAAGAGTTATGCATAATACTCGCCTCCGTGTCTTTAATAAAATCATGACTTTACGTCATGTTACTAGTAAAATCTGGGAATTTGTTCTGGTGAGTAGAATCATTACCTTCAGGCTTTTTGCTGTAAACACTGTCTTTTCAGAGAAAATGCAGTGTTTACATTACAGCCTAGTGATACCTTCATTGGCCACTCCTCAGATGGCTGTTAGAGATCCTTCCTGGGTCATGGCTGCCTAAAATGCATCCAAACATTCAGTGTCTCCTCCCTCTGCATGAAGCACTGGTGGATTCTCCCCCCCCCCCGAGATCCGATGCTCTCTTCTGCAGGGCCAGTGCTATCCAAGCGCCGGCCCTGCTAAGTGCCTTCACGGGTCTCCTCTCGCAATCACGGCACCACGGCAACGCTCCGTTCTCGCGAGAATGAAATCTAACCCAGGAGGTGCAGGCTAGAGTTTACTCCCCACTAGTACCGCCAGGGATTATCCATAAGGACCACCAGGGCTTCACAGAATGGATATTCCCCCTCCCTGGGCAAAGGTAAGAAGGTACTTTTTATAAGAACTATTTCAAGGGCTGATGAAAACAAATAAGTGTTTTATTTTTAAAAATTAAAAAAAATATGCTTTATATCCTCCCCTAAGGTAAGAAGGGAGGGGGGATATAAAGCATATTTTTTTTTTATTTACAAAATTAAACACCCTTTTGTTTTAATCAGCCCCCTCTCCCAACTACACACACACTTCCCCACCACACACACTGCCCAAAATGCACCCCCATACACAAACTGCCCAAAATGCACCCCCATACACACACTGCCCCACTGTACCCCCATACACACACATCTCCCCCATACACACTGCTCAAATTGCACACCCATACACACACTGCCCCCACTGTACCCCCATACACACACTGTGCCCCTCATACACACACTCCCCCTCTACACTCCCATACACACATTGCACTCCTATACACATACTGCCCCCACTACACCATAAACACAATGGCCCCATACACACAGTGTTCCCACTGCACCTCATATATACACTGCACTCCCATGCACACACTACACCACTCACACAAACACACACTGCCCCTCCTACACACACTGTCTCACACACACACACACGTACCTACCTAGAGGCCCTCTCCCCATACTACAGCCCCTATCCTGGCAATAAATTGGCAAACTGTTCTTAACCCCTTAACGCCGTTACGGTGTTCTATGCCGTCCCACATTAAAAGGGCTTTAAAGCCGTTGCGGTGGCATAGAACGCCGTAACGGCTTGCAGCCCCTGGAGGTCCGGTGGACTCACCTCCGCCACGATCCTCTTTTGGAGGCAGCCCTCCCCCGGAAAATGAGGCCCCCGGGGGCCATGTGATCGCTCTTAAAGAGCGATCACATGGCCCCCTATAGCTGGCTGTGGATCTGCCAGCAGGGGGACTGTCTGAAATGTCAGACAGTCCCCCTGCTGGTGGGAAAGTAAAAAAAAAAAAAAAAGAATTAAACATGTGTAAAATTAAAATAAATGTATTTTTATATATATAATAGATGTATACTAAGTGGCTACTAAAAATGACTAAACATACCCCACTTTCAATACCTTGGGTTGTCTACTTTTTCAAATGGTATGCCATTATGGGGGTAATTCTCTTTCCTGGGCTACCATATGCTCTCAAAGGTAACATTAGTAATCTGGCAAATTTTAATGTCAAAAAAATGAAATGCAAGCCTTATATGTGACTCTCTAACTTTCCAAAACACCATAAAACCTGTACATGGGGGGTACTGCTATTCTCGGGAGACTTCACTAAACACAAATATTAGTGTTTTAAAACAGTAAAACATATTACAACAATAATATAGTCCATAAAAGTGCCGTTCGTTTGTAAAAAATGCAAAAAATTTCACTTTTACTTAAAATATCATCGTTGTAATACAATTTATCATTTTGAAACACTAATATTTGAGTTGAAAATGGAACGTTCTATACTTGACCCTGTAACTTTCCAAAACACCATAAAACCTGTTAATGGGGGGTACTGTTGTACTCGTGAGGCATCGCTGATTACAAATATGTGCATTTTTTTGCAGTAAAACCTAACAGTATTATGACATTCACAGCTAAAATGTCAGACGGAGATACAATTTTTTTTAAAAATCTTATTTTCTCACATTTTTTTAAATTTTATTCATAATAAATTATGTTCCATATATGAATAGTTAATGATAAATTAAAGCCCTGTTTCTCCTGAACAAAATGATATATAATAAGTGTGGGTGCACTTAATGTGACAGCGCTGAATTACGGTTGAACAGACATATAGCGCAAATTCCAGTTTTTGTTTACGTTTTGATCAGAACGTGCACTATTGACTCCGTCCTGAAGGGGTTTAACGGTTTGACTATTTACTCTGGGAGGGCACCACGGGCACCATAACCACTACAGAGAGCTGTAGTGGTTACTGTGCCTGGATTGTTTCTTTAAATAATCTATGAGTGCCCCTCCCGAGATAAGGCTCTGGATCCGCCAGTGGCATGCAGACACTGAACTTTCCTCATAGAGATACATTGATTCAATTCATCTCTATGAGGAGATGCTGATTGGCCAGGGCTGTGTTTGAATCATGCTGGCTCTGACCCTGATCTGCCTCTTTGTCAGTCTCAGCCAATCCTATGGGGAAGCATTGTGATTGGATCAGGCCACCACTTCTGATGATGTCAGCAGGCAGGTCAAAAGGAAACAGGGACAAAGCAAGCAGTTCCGGACTTGAATACAAGTAAGATATTACTATATTTATGAAGGCATGAGGGGACCAGGGTGGCTAGTTGGTGCTCCTTTAAAGGGAGAATATATTTTCAGTGATTCAATGATAACAATATTATAGGATCGAATACATATATTTGCATAGAAGCAGATATGCAAGTTTTGTTGCATACTTTGTGTGTGGCAAAAATGAATAGGCTAAAATGACCCTGCTTATGGGTACTTGTAAATAGCCTGAAGGTGCTTCTCGGAAATTTCATCAGATTATTTAACTTGATGTTTGCATGTGGTATTAAATGCAGTTTCCTGGCTTAACCATATAAAATAGGGTTGGGCAACAGGTAGATCCCCAGATGTTTTAGAACTGCAATTTCGATGATGCTTTACAATTCCAAACATCTGGGGATCTAGCGTTTGGACAGTCCTGATCTAGAACCTTGCTCTCTTTAATTGCAGCCTACTAGGAAACCTTGTAGTGTACCCAAACTCTACTATGTCCAAGGTATCAGCTCCAGCACAGTGCATAATGAAGGAGTAAGGGATGGCATTTTAGCGATGTACAGTGACAATCATCTATTTTTCCATAAATCATCTTTTTTTTGGGAGGATCAATGGATAGAACGTCAAATCACAAAACAAGCAAAGTTCCATCCATTGTCTGTTTTGTAACTTTTTAATATAGCGTGTCAGAGTTTGAGATTTTGGACAAAAGGACAATCGCCCAAAACTTGGACAAATTGCAATTTGTTTTTAAAAGTAAATGCACAAAAGAGTCAAACGGGTTATAATAACATTACACAAATATATACAGGGCCAGTACTAACTAACAGCTCTCTGGCAACCTGTTCAGTAATAGAACTGTACAAAGTACAAGAGGCCATTATTTTAGACTTAAAGAAAAGAGAATAGCTAAAGTTAAAAACTTGTTGATCCACAGAGACCCCGGACTGCCATTGTGTAGTCATTAAGGAACGATTTTCCCATTCTGAAATGGTTGGTATCGAGTCTTTTTCAGCCCTTATTACTAGGTACTTATATAATTCTAACAAATTTTGATCTAGTGGGTAAAATTATGACTAAGAAATATATATCCAAAAATGAATATTTCTTACTGGAATCGAGCGGTCTGTAACTACAATAAGTGGAAATTCTTTGAGACTGTCTATTTATCATTATATTGTTATGGAGGGAGTGTGGTTTCCAGAGTTCTGGACTGGCACTGGCCTGCTTGCTTCTACTATTTGGCTGTTATTTTTATAGAACGATAGTGGTTTCCAGAGTTGACATTGGCCCCCTTACTTCTACTATTTGGCTGTTATTTTTATAGAACGATAGTGGTTTCCAGAGTTGACATTGGCCCGCTTGCTTCTACTATTTGGCTGTTATTTTTATAGAACGATAGTGGTTTCCAGAGTTGACATTGGCCCCCTTACTTCTACTATTTGGCTGTTATTTTTATAGAACGATAGTGGTTTCCAGAGTTGACATTGGCCCGCTTGCTTCTACTATTTGGCTGTTATTTTTATAGAACGATAGTGGTTTCCAGAGTTGACATTGGCCCCCTTACTTCTACTATTTGGCTGTTATTTTTATAGAACGGTAGTGGTTACCAGAGTTGACATTGGCCCACTTGCTTCTACTATTTGGCTGTATGCAGTTTGATATGCTTGTTTGGACAAATCTTGACTGTGGAAACGATCCTTCAATGACTGGAGGTTCATCAGGGTTATAGACTTTATGTAAGTAGCGTTGTTAATTAATTACCGTGATACCATGTTTGAAGCAATATTATAAGTGTTATCTTAAAACGCAATTTGTGTCCATCCTCCAAGAACTGATCATCCCCTTTCAAGCTCAGTTTTATATAAATGTTAATTTTCATGTTAAGTCTTCAAATGAAAAGATATTAAGATTTTGTACAATATATATGTGTAATGAATAAGACTGAATATTTTAGTAAAAAATATGCAATCTCACGGCTTCTTAACACTCATTATCTCTTTGATCACACGTAACATTCTTGCATAAATAAATCAATTTAAAAAACTAAATTACATTAAAAAAACCACACACAGTACTTCTTGGAAGGCTAAATTATAATGTAACATACAAATATTAGAACCTACATCAAACCAAATGCTGCCACTTTGCAAGGACCTCGACTCACACTTTGATAGAGTACATCATTGAAATCTCTGAAGCAGAGGTAATTACTATAGAGATATGTTAATTAATCGGATGTTGCGAAAAAATTACATGATATACTGAAGTCGCAACTTTGCTGATAAATTTATGCCTAGCAATTATTTTGTGAATCTTTGTGATTTCGTAGCAGCTTAGCAATTACAAACCGTTAATGAAAACTGCCGTATCTGAAAAAGATAAAACTTGCCAACTAAACTAGCCATCTTAGATTATAATTTTTTTAACATTTTCCAAAACATTGTTATTTGCAAGAACAAAGAAGTTCACAGATAAAGAGCTACTACGGGTGACCGAGATGTGATAGCTACAGTCACACATTATTTGTGCTACAGCAAGTTGGTTCTTGTTTAATTTTTTTTAGAATGTCCGCTCTTTGGCACCCGTTCTGTCTTATGATAACTACCGATAGGTTGGGCATGATATTCAGGTTTTAATAACGGTTACATTCTGTCTTCTAGGTTCAGCAGAGTTTCGTTCCTTATATTTACATTTTTTTACATATAGCATGGAGATTGTTGACTATTAAAAATGTATAGTCGTTCCGGTTTAATCAGGGAAGACATTACTGTGGCTGACAAAAAAAAATGCTACATGGCCATATTCAGCTCCACTAGATCAGTCAATCATCACAGAGTACACTTCTGTCCAGCCAGTAATCACAGAGTATATTTCAGTCCTCATCTTCTCCAGCTTATGATATATACATTGGGCGATATCTCAGTCGCTCATGGCCATATTATACCAATGGCTTTAGGTGGATAGCTGGGCTATTTGGACGAGCAGCAAGTATGTAGACCACATTCTCCTTCATGAATGTGTCCCAGTTCACTTGTCTGAAAAAAGAAAAAAGTTATATTATTTCCCTCAGTTAAAAAGTATACAGGCCTTAATTTAATAAACTTTCCAATTGATTCAGCACTGTTGAATGTATGCATGATTACCATAGTGAGAGGTAAGAGGTTAAACAGTGAGACACTGCAAAACGGTTTGATGGGAAAGGAGATGAATCCAGGAATTTCTATATCTTGGGGGTTTATATTCACCTTTGTCAACCCTGAGATAAACCACAGCAAAGACATGTTTCAATGGACCCCCACCAATCAGTCAGTGTAGGTCTTGTGTAGAAGTACACAATAAGAAGATTTAATATTCCCTGTATTGTCCCAAGATATGTCATTACACCTACATGTGCTAATCTAATTCCTATTCAGGAGACATTGTATCTTGTACTGATTGTAAAGACTTTCAGAATGAACACAGAATGATTACCTTGTATCCTATCATTTTACTTCACTTGCCAGATCTAGCATTGCTTTTGGTTTTAACCGCCAATTTGTGTCAGACAATATTTTATGAGCCGTATAATTTAGCACCGAAAAGGTCTTTAAACATTTCTACACATGATCATAAATTAAGGCTCAGTCATACATTACGACTCTGCATAGTAATTACAGTCAAAAGCCAGAGATGGATAAAAACGAGATGCTATGTGAAATTTCAGGGTAATGAGTTTTTGATGGAATTGTGAAGATTTCTTTTTTTGTAAAGGATAAGAACTAACATTTTATGTGAGTTAAGGAGGATTTTTTTAAAAAAATTGAAAGTTAAATGATATTGGAGAATAAACCCAGATTGATATATAATCAATAAAATATCAACATACACTTTAAAAACACTATTCCTCTGGCATTTCCCAATGGAAAAAAAAGGTCCCACCAATCAGGAGCCACATTCTGGGATGGGGTCTGGTGTTATCCCAGTAGGTTTATAATGCCAAGCAGCAGCAGGTTCACTCATGAACCTGCTGCTGCTTTACAGCTTATTGAGTTAGTGAACCGAACTTTGCGCACCGTTTTGGAGAGCTGCCAATGTGATCAGTCCAGAGTGTGAATGCCATGGACACGGACAATAATATTTTAGTTTTATGCATCATTTTTTTTTTAAATTGTAAAATAACGGTGTTATGGGTAATGATCCAAACAGCCATTTTCAGAACATGAAGCCGCTCTACCACAGACTGGAAAACATGCTTACGGAGTTTAAAAAAAAATCTTTCTACAGAACTCTCTATTTCACATGTAGGAAAAAAAATCAAACAAAAGGACCGTTAATAATATGGAGTAATGTGAAAAGTGAAAGTCAGCTGGTTGTCTTATTTTTTTTCCCCACTTGAATTGAATTAAATGTTTTCCATATTCCGATACTGCGTATGGGACTGCTTTTACATGTAGCATGGGGCATTTCTGGGTAGAAGCGAGTCTCTGTCGCACATGTACCTGCTTTCTTCTGGCTCTGTGGTCAGGTTGGTCTTTTCTTGGCTTTTTCCACTGGTGCTGCTTGCTGGGCTACTTTCGGACATGGGTCCAACATGGCTAATACTGCTCCGAGGAGACAGAAGAGGAGAAAGGAGTTCATCGTTATACAAAGAAATGGTTAAAGGATACATTTCCCCGCCACAATAAATGCGCCCCATTACTGCCGATTTACCATACTAGTTCAAGATGTAGCGTTAACCAATTTCAGAATAATATAATGTAGATGTTATTATAAGAAGAAAAACACAACCAAAGAAAAAGTCATTACTTCGTTCTAACAATGTCCTATTATTGTACCCGAAGGTCACCAGAAAACTGAGCTGACCTAAAAAATTCTTGTGTCCACATGGGATGGTATGTTCGCTATATGGAAGTACGTGGAATGATGCATTAGGTGAGGAAGGTGTATATAAATACAGGTATAAATATTTACAGAAGATTGTACATTGTAGGGGTTAATTATAACAACATGATCAAAGAAATATAATCGAAATTTGATAACTGGGAAACTCCAGATCTTGTTAGGAACACTGCAGAGTTGTATTCTTAATGGTGTAATGTTTCCTCAACATTTAGATTCATGGCCCCCTAAATCTAATTTTAAATAATATAGCATTGAGACCCAGTTCCTGCAGCCGCGCCGCATGCTAAATCTTTGTCTTCTCACTAAACTCAATGCTTCTCTCAGGAGTATTGGAGACCAGAAGCGTATGTGCGGCCGCGTCATGTTTCTCTAATCAAATACTCTCTACGAGAAACAAGTTACATGCGATAGCGGAGTCTGTCACAGAGGAAACACTGTCTTGTGGCGGTCAGGAAGAGAGTAAATAACGGTGTGTTTAACCTGCAATGTAAACATCACTTTATCTACTAAACGCCAATGTTTTAGACTGCAGAACAAAAATGAGAGGCACTACACCAAAACCTTTTCACTGAGATGAAGTGGTCTGGGTGCCTACTGTGTCCCTTTAATATTAAGTGAAAACTAAATAGATAATATCTTGCACCAATGATTACAAATAAAAGCACAACCTCTGAAGTAATACTTAGCTGTGATTATAACAAGCTTGTTTGATCAGTTATCACACTGGGCTGACAGTGATGTCAATGTTTATTCCTTTTAGATTGCACTTCTCTTTAATCTGTTTATAAATGATCTCGAAGTAGGCATTGAAAGTGATTTGTCAGTGTTTGCAGACGACACAAAATTAAGTAAGAAAATACAGTCTGAACATGAAATAACGTCTCTACAGAGGGCTACGGATAAATTGGGGAATTGGGCAGGCAAGTGACAGATGAGATTCAATACAGATAAATTAACATACATTTTAGAATAAGGAACCCACAAGCCACTTATACATTAAATGGGGTAGAATTAGGGATAACCTTAAATGAAAAGGACTTGGGAACAATTATAGATCACAAATTAGGCAGCAGTATGCAATGCAGGTTTGTTGTTGCAACAACTTGTAAAGTGCTTTCGTGTATAAAAAAGGGTTGAGATTCACGTGAACCAAATATAATGTTGACTCTTTATAAATCAATAATCATTGAATATGCAATTTGGATGCAATTTTGGCTCCGGTTTTAAAGAAGGATATTGCAGTACTAGCAAAAAGTGCAGCGGCAAGCTACAAAACTAATAAGGGGGATGGAAAACATTAGTTATGAGCAGGGGCGTACCTAGAGCATTTGGCACCCAGGGCGGATCCTGTGCTTGGCACCCCCTCCCTGACCCCCCCCCCTCACTCCCCCAAAAAACACCTGTATAAAATGTTAAAGGTTTTCTTTTTACAATTTGTAAACTTTGCAAAACCGCTGTCAGCCCCTCCTACAAAACCCGTGTCCTGCCCCGCCCCCTCCTACAAAACCCCTGTCCTGCCCCCTTCTACAAATCCTGTACTGCCCAGTCTACAAAACCCCCGCAACCCCCTTCCACAAATCCCCTGCTTATCCCCCCTTATAAAGACTCCTGTCCCAATATAAAACCCCTGCCCCCTTCTACAAAATCCCTGCAGCCCCACATATACATTTACAGGCAGACAGTCACGCACTCAGTTACAGGCATACAGTCGCACACAGTTACAGGCATACAGCCATGCACACAGTCACAGCCAGACAGTCACGCACACAGTTACATATACAGTCACTCACACACACAGTCACAGGCAGAGAGTTACACACACACATGCAGGCAGACACACACACAGTTACAGGCACACAGTCACATGCAGACAGTCACAC